ACCCTCAGAATTGCTTCTTTCGTTCGCTATGCTCTTCTTTAAAGTGTCAACTTCTTTCGCAGCGGCTGAAACCCTATCATCAACTTTGTTGCTCGACGGCAGAAACTCGCTCTTCTATATTTCTTGTTACAGCAAGAAACTCTTTCTTCTATTTCTTCTTTCACCGAAGAAACTCTTTCTTCAATTTGAACTTTTACGGAAGAAACTTTTTCTTCAATTTGCCCAACTTTATTTTCAACCACATCTATTCTGCCTTCCATAGCATCGAATTTGGTTTCTATTATGCAGGCAATTTCTCTTTTCATTTCGTATTGACTTTCTTCAATCTTTACTTGTACGGCTTTTATTTCGTCTTTAAAAGTTAATTGACCAGCTTGAATGGCCTTCATCTCTTCCTTAACGGATTCTTGTCCCGCTTCAATCCTTTCCTGATTAGATTTCATATCTTCTTTCAACGAGGCAAAGGCTGAGATCAACTGCCTTAATTGCTCTTCCATCGCTCTTGTTATTGGCATTCAAATCCCACTTCTGACACCAAAAATTGTTGCGTGCGTACGGGTTTGTTATGAAATGAATGCACAAGTCCGATGAAAAATGAACAAAAATTTATTATTATCACGACAAAAATGCTTAAATTTTCTGAAATTATCATGCAGTATTACAATATCTCACAGTAGTTATCTTTTAACTACTCAAATGTCCAATAGAACGTAATTCAAAACAGCTAAAGAACGCTAATCTGCGAATTCGCTACAATCAACAAGAGCAGTTTTCTAAAAAAAACAACAAACTAAGCAACTACTACAAACTGAGATGTTTTCCTCCTTTTATAAGATTTTAAAATCACGCGCTAGAATTTTTCAGTACTTTCTCGAAATCAAAAAGAGATATTTATTTATACGCACGCGCTCTTGTATTTTCAATTTTCCTGCTTAGCTTTCTTTTAATATTCGTCACGCGCTGCACTGCGCGAGAAATAAAACCATTTAATTTATAATTGAACTAACATTAGCTTTTTAAATACCAAATTCGTAACACTATAGTGCAATATATGTGAACCAACTTTACGTCATTTAAATTATCTGTTATTAACTTATAAATAAACGCAGGCAAATGTCCCAAATATTCCGATGCTGTGACAGATTAGTTTATTGATGCAAAAATATGCAAATATTTTTAGCAATTCAATTTAAAGGATTTTGTAAAGAACTGCAAGAATGTGCTATCGATGCAGAAGGTAAACAGTTAGAGCTGCCAAACTATCACTAGACCAGAGAGTTTCTGAAGCACTGGCATAAATATAATCTTTGTTAAAAAAATTAATACCTTGAAATATATTTTTAAATACTCCAATTGATTGAATTTCATCTTACCTTGCTTTCTTAAGAAATTTCTTACTATTATTTAAATCAAATGCTAATGTAGCTACATTGTACATATAGAGCGAATCCTTTAAATTAAATTGGTAAAAATTTATACGTATTTTTCTACGTATAAACGTATATATATACGTATTTATACGTATTTTTCTACGCATTTATACGTATTTCTTGTATTTTTAATTATTTAACGTATCTATTTTTATGCATATTTTTCTGCACCAAAAACTAATCTGTCGCAGCATCAGAATATTTAGGACTTTTGCCTGCATCTATATATAAGTTAATAACTGAGATTATAAACGACGAAAAATATGAATTTGCTCTCTTTTTATAACTTCAGAAAAAAAGTGTACAGTCATTGAACTATAGAAAATTTCGTTATCATATTATCACTTTACCTTATAACTAATTCAAAAAACCGCTTACCTGGGCTGCTAGGTATCGTTCTTATTGGATATTTATACCGGCGGTTCTTGAATTTTATGGATTCGAGGATTCCTTTTACAGAATGTGTACTCTGTAAGATTCCTAAAAATTAACAACCATGGTTAGTTTTACTACATTTCTGAAAATGAAAGAAAATAAGAAGAAAAACATTATTTTTAAAAATTTTCATTCAAACTCCTTTCTGTTAACTCTTAGTATACCAGGGGTCCGTGGACCACCGTTTAAGAATCACTGGCTTAGATCAGCGGTTATCAACCTTTTGACTAACGCGTACCATCTAAACAAAAATTGAAAACCTCTAGTACTACCACTACAAAGTACTACTGCCACCACCACTTATGAGCAAAGCTCAAATCGCATCAATTTACGAGTGCTAGAGAAAAAAACCTCAGTCGGGATGTTAGGGTTTTAATTTTTGAATTTAATAGTTAAAAATACCTTGCTTCTTTACGTACCACCTATTTTTCTTTTGCGTACCACCAGTGGTACGCGTACCAAAGGTTGAGAACTTCTGGCTTATATAAAACTTAGTTTTACCGTTTATCAGTAGCTTAGAGTCTTGCTTGCTTTGGTAGCATAAGCTCACGAGCTCTAGACGGACTACATAGGAGTCTTCCTCGGGTCTTTAAAGGTAGGCAGACAAAGTCAGAAGGATGTAAATAGCCTTTTTATTTGACCACAAAAGAGTTAAAAGTTGATCCCCCTTGATTTTATGTAAACCCACTTTTCTGACTTAACTTAAACAAGTAATGTTGAACTTAAGGTAATTTAGACTAGCGTAATGGCTCACAGGGTAAAGTAAACGCGCATGAAGGCTCTGGCTCGTGTAGAAGCCGGCGAGACAAGCTTAATGGCTAGAAGCATTCAACACAGCAAAATCAGATCGTTATTTAGTCACGGTAACAACGTGGCCTCAAGTAGCCAGAACACGCTCTAAAATCAAATTGAGAAACTTTCACTTAAATAGTACTTCTTTCTCCCTCATTCTGAATAAACGGGCCCTATTTAATTTACATTCTGGCATGGAAAGAGTGGGTGAAAAGAAGAGCGACACGAAAGTTGCTTTAACTCAAAATTTAACTATTACTCGAAATAAATAAACAAATCCTCACAGGTTTATTAATTAATTGTTTAAATGCCTGTTTTCAATCGTTTAACTGGTGGCAAAAAATATTCAAACTATCTTCTAAATTTTGCAGAATGGCTTGAAGATTTATTTCAGCTATTATTCAAACAAAAGTGATATTTAAATGATTCTTTATGGAAAAACTGTGTACTATTAGATGTAAAAAAAAAAAAAAAAAAACCATTTAAAGGCACTTTATTTTTTAAAATTTCATGATATGTAAATAGCAGAAAAGATTAATAATGAAATTATTAATAATAAACCTTGTAGAAAACCTTGTTGAAAATAACCTTGTAGAGCTTATATTTATGTACGTTTTGTACAAATAAATTCATAAGTATGCGAAAGCAAGATGTAGGTGGTAAAAGAAGTAAACATGCCAACAAATTATCTAATAAAATTTATTCACGTCTTAGTTACATATTTTGTTTAACATTTTCATCTATATCAGGGATTCTCAACCGGTGGTACGCAGAAGAACAATAGGTGGTACGCAAAGAAACAAAGTATTTTTAACTATTAAATTCAAAAATCTCGTGAAGAAAAAGAACAACTGACAGAAATTTCCTGTTATCGAACTCTAACTGAAGATTTCAAAAATTACACACTTGTTAACTTTTGGCTGAAAATAAAGCTATTAAATTTTTATTGCCTTCTTGCACAACCCATTTCTGTAAACAAGCATTTTCTTCCATGCTATTTGAAAAACAAATACAGAACAAAATTAAAAGTGGATCCTGATTTACGGATAAAACTAAGTGAATTAGGACTGGACATAAAGACATTGATCTGTCTTAAACAGGCCCAAATTTCTCACTAAATTTTAGAATTAAAATATTATTACATAAATTTTGATAATTAAAATGATAACAAATTTTTAATCGAATATTTTTTATTATTATATTATATTTTCATTATTATATTTATGTGTGCATATTTAATACAACAGGTTGTGCAAATGACAAAATATATATATATTTTAATATTTCTATGAAAAAACTGAAAAATAATCATTGTAAAAAATCTAGTGGTAGTATTATTAAAGTTTTCAGTTTTTGTTTAGATGGTACGTGTTAGTCAAAAGGTTGAGAACCGCTGATCTATAGCATAACCTTATTAAAATAATAGAAAAATTTCAAACATATTTGAATTTGGCAGGTAAACGGAAAGCGTGAAGAATTTAACATAATTAAACTATTTCTGAGGCAATGGGTAAACTTAAATTACATTCTGCTATTATTCTGATGCTTGCACGGTCTAGAATAATGTACAATTTCAATAGTAAACATTGAGTTTACTATTTAGGTATTCAGACATAGGTTTAGCTGAAATGCTTTCGAAAACAAATTTTAGTGCTGCAGATTGTTAGATTTGAAAACAAAAAGTAGGATTAAGCATGTATAAAAAAGTAGGATCCACACGAATAATTTCGGTAATAGCATTAATAAGATTTCTTGGCTTACTGTTTATATTATTATTATATTATATTAGTTATTACAAATAATGGATGAAAACAAATTTTGATTCTTAAAATACAACTAAGTTAGATGCAGTACACTTTCAAAACTCATATATATTGTATTTATTCATTTATTATCATGTATATATATGCATGAGTTAACTATGATCATTCAAGTTTATCAAGTTATCTTCGTACTAATGTTTCGCAATGAGGAGGCAATTCCATACAATTTATTCTTGCAAAACTTTTTTTTTCTCTTGAGATATCTGTAAGATCCCCACAACAAACAAAATATCGACTTCAATTAAAATTTCGATTTCGATTAAAATTAAAGTGTTCTTTCTAAGTAATTAAAGCTCAATTGTTAGGTTAGTGACTCTTGACTAACCTAACTTTTGATCTTTACTGACACAAAAGGGTTAAAGCCAATATTTTTCTAAAATATCTCTGAAATAATAATATAAAAAAAATATTTTTGAACTGATTTACTGAAGTTATAGGTAATTTTTTTCATCACAATTTCTGCTTTATAATAATCTATCGGTAAACTATACAGATGAAAAATAATATTTTGCATTTTTAGGAACGTAATGCTGTTCCCGTGGATTCTCGAAGATGGCCGAATGGAGTTATTCCGTATAAAATAGATAAAGGTCTTGGTAAGTATAGCCAAATTTAATTAATTACATTTTAATAAAAACGGTAGTCAGTAAACGAGAAGAAATGTGTTCAGGGACTTATATTCAATTACTGCATCAGATTGTATAAGGCACCCATATTAACATTGTGACAAATAAAGTATCTGCCATACACAGATTTTGAATTATATTGCAGATCAAATTGTAAAAGAAACATTCCCATATAAAACTGAAAATTAGGCTAAACAGCATCCTTATTTTGACGTAAAGTTTCAATGAAATTCCATCTGTTTCGAGGGCGATCAGACATCGGTCTTTCTTCACCAGGAATAGCGAAGGGGGATAACGACGACTCGCATTTGAATATGCTGTAGAACATATTGTAGATATTTTATTTTATTATTAAGGCTTTAGAAAACTCAAAACAATGAAGGAGGTAAATTATCACACGTACAGGTACAGGTATAAGTGAGCGGAACACGAGAATTTCACCATAGAATTGTACAGTTAGAGTTCCACTCCACCAAAAGTGCAGCTCCACTCCAGATTTGAGAGAAAAACCTCGGAGGCGGTCCGACGGTGTCCTATCCCTCTTCCCTTGCCATCAGCCACTCAAAAGGACTCGATCTGTTAGGTATTTTACGTTTCCCCTTGCCGCACGGACACTTTCGCTTACAAACACCCCTTCCTTCTTCAGGATTCGAACCCGAGCCTAAGGGTAAGGCAGTCAGCGTCATTAACTATTATAACTTCTGGGCGGCGGTAAGTTATTCGGTATTCAGTTATCCGGACTTCAGTTATGTATTATGTAAATTCTGGGAAGTAGCACGATATAAGTTTAATAACTTAACTTCATGCTCTTTTGGCGAAAAAAATTAGTGATGGTAATGCAGTATAATGAAACTCATCTCCTTGCATTTGATAATATAAGTGTACAATCAAGTGTCCAGCTCAGAGAACTTCATTTAAACTACTAATTTAAATAGAAAATATTCTCAGATTTATTCGTTGCTTAACTAACTATCAATTACTCCATGATGCAAAGGAGCAATAATTTGGGAAATACTATATCGTACTTCACTATCGAGAGCACTAGAGTTCTGACTTCTGAAAACGACGCGGATCTTTGTTAATTTTAGAAATACTATTATTTCTCCTAAGAATAAAAGCGCTCTATCTATCATTTACAAGTGGTTTAAAATAATTATTTTCATATCCGACTATAGAAAGGTCAGAGCTTAGAATGGGACATGACAAATGGAAAATAGCGAACTAAAACGTCTGATTTATAAAAATAAAATAAAATCTTACTTCACAACATCAATTTTTATTTTGCAACAAATATTTACCATAATTGCTCTTAAAGGTAAGGGAAATAATTTATTTTAAAGCAAAGAAATGTTTTTACCGAAATATATGCCAATGTAAATCTAAACTAGATCTGCTTCTAAATTGAATCTGCGCTAGATGACTTCACAGTAAGTCTTAATGTTTTCTTACAATGCGTAGTATCATTTTCTCAAACAGTTACAATACCATTTTACTTTTGAATTATATACCGGTAAATACTGAATATCCTGGCGAAAGGTTTCCTTTTTCTCCTCTGTCGGCACCCAGATTTCAAAATTTTGGAGAAAAATTTATATGTGAATGAGAAAAGGGAATTTAAAAAAAATATATATATAATTTATTAGAAGTTTCACCAAGTTCTGCATAGTTTCTAGGTTTCTTCTGAAAACGCTGGATTTTCTTTATACAGTGCTTGATGAAGTCTTTTATATTAATCCATATTTTATGTTAATGAAATAAACAGCTTTATGGAGTTCTCTTTAACTGAAACTAATTCATTAATCCGAGGACAATCTTTTAAGTTTTATTTTACACTGTTAGGCCAAAGAAAACAACAGTACTACTTAAAACCGAAAACATTTAGGTCTCCTCAATTTTTTCATTTATATATATATATATATATTTCATTATATATATATATATATATATAATAAATAAATTTTGAAATAAAGATATGCTTTTATATGTTTCCTTTATACCTACTACATGAACAAGAGAAAAATGTTTCAGGCAGACTCTGTCTCGATTGCATATAAGCATTCTGTACCGCGCCACGCACATAGGGAAAAATCCCTCCTCGTGACTGGATATAGTTTCCGGTGACTCATTTCCTCTACGCTTAGGAACGTCTTGATTTTGCTTAAGCTCCAGGGTACACCTCCATATCGTTTGTTTACATTTTGATAGCAGTACCGAAAAGATTATTTACGTGCGTAACATTTTTTTGTTATGTGATTACACTTCTTACAACACTGTAGTGTGGTGAATTTATTATAAAAAAATGTAGTGATTTTTTTCCCTAGAGAGAAAAAGTATTTCTTTTTGTGTTAATTCGGTAAATATGTATTAATATTAAATGCAGAGATTTTTTAATAAATATATTCCTAATTGGAAACCCTTCATATTAAAGGTGTTGTGATTATTAATTCATTATTTCATATTCATTATATATCCATTTTTTGCACATGCAATCTCCGAAAGCATGAGACAAGTCAGTTTTCGGAAGTGGCAAAAATATTGGAAGATAACATAGTACAAAGAAAATTTACAATATTTATAATCAGTCTGAAAAAATTAAATTTATTTTTGAAATTAGACTAATACAGATTTGGAACAGAGAAATAGAGATACGTATTTTAAATTGAATAATGTTACTTTATGAATATTGCCCATATTTTAATGTGTAAAAACTTTTATACCTTTACATAAAATGTGTTTGTCAGAGAAGGAAGTTTCTTTCCTTATACACGTGTATTAAATTCAGCGACGATACTGAATGAACTTTTCTTTAAGGCAACAGAATATTAGAATAACATGGACATTAACATGAAAAAAACCATGACATTTGCAAAGGAAATATTTTCTGTAATTTGAAAGAAACAGAATGAAACAAAATTGCAATAATAATAATATACTTACTAGCACACAGTGTCTTTACAGTTGGATCGAGATCGTCGTGTTTTGGTTTTTGCACTAAATTCATAAACTGAGCTATTTATATAATCTAAGCGTTTAAGATTGCTTCTGATATTAACAGCATCTTTGGAAGATTTTATAATTTTATTATTCCATAAAACAGTAAGCCATCTGCAGAACGCTGCAGCTAAATTTTTTCGTTGCAAAGAAAACAAACGATAAATTTCACGCTTCCATTTCACTCATGTGCGTCATCCAACGAAAACAAAAATGTAAGAATCCTGCTAAATGTCATTATGCCAAGAAAAAATGATGTCATCTGAAAATATGTCCAATCACAAGCACGGAATTTTCCCTATGCGCGTGGCGCGGTACAGAATACTTACCGCGTATAAGTCGACATATTTTGGACAAAAAAAAAAAAAAAAAAAAAAAAAAAAAAAAAGACTTCAAAGTGGGGGGGGGTCGACTTATACGCGGGGCCATAAAAAATTAAAAGAATCGGAAGTTCAAAAATTTCTTTATATAATGCAGTTGTTTTCTTCCCGCACTCAAATTGGACGACTTATCAAATAAGTCACTTACTTGAAGTAATTTCATGACTTAAATTATGTGACGAACTAATCACAGAGTTTCATACTTTAACTAGAGTAAGTTTTGATTAAACCAAAGAATTTTCGGCCTCTGAACAACCGATCAGTATCGAGCAATAAAAAAGTTTCGCCAACACGCCAAGAAAAGAGAAATGCAGATAGTTTTTACGTACGTATAAGTCTTTATAATAGTTATTGCTCATTCATGAAATACTTTTGTTAACAGGCGTACACGTCAAAATTAAAAAAAATAGCCCACGCAATAACTGAACAGTTTTGAATACTTCTTTTAACTTTTAAAAAGGGAAAATGCAGATAGATTTTACGTACGCGAATCTTTTTTCCGGAACAAATTCTAGAAGGTTACTATATACGATAATTTTTCCGCAATTATCCTGCGTTTTGGATATGTTGGGAACGCTTTTGCCTGCTGGATGCTGATTGGTTGTTCGGGACAGAAAACTTTTCGGTTTAACTTTCAGATTCGACGGATTCTTTGCTAGAATCACGTGCCGCGACGACAGAAGAGTTCTATGAAATGTTTGGCGAATCTATGACCATTGAATCGGACGTTAAAGGATTTTGATTTTGTTTATTTACCAAAGTATTTTTTATCGTACATTTATTTTTTTTCTCAGATCATTTTGAATAAATGTAGTACTTAAAAAAATTTTTCGAATTTCTCGATCGATTTCGGAAGTGGGGGGTCGACTTATACGCTGGTTTCTTATTTTCTACGAATTTTTTATGTCGAAGTGTGTGTGTGTGTGGGGGGGGGTCGACTTATACGCGATATCGACTTATACGCGGGTATATACGGTATATGCGCCTCGTTTATATATTAGAATTGATTTAAAGCTAGATTCCGATTATAAATACGATTCAACAGCAGTTGGTAAAATTGGTTCTATTCTAACAAGATTCTATACCTTAGTTTTGCTCAGATGAAATTATAACAAAAAAACTTCATGTGCCAAGAAAAATTGTAACTATTTTTCCCGTTTAGTATACAAACTACGGATAAAGAAAATATCATAATCTGAAAACTTAGATAACAAAACCTCAAAGTAAAGTTTTTAAAGACTAATTTAAAAAAATCTAAAATTCATAAAAATTATAAAATTAAATGTAATTTCATTATGATATTCCGATTCCAATTAAACATTTGATTTTAAAAACAGAACCAAATTGTTATATAGGCCTGAATATAAAGACAAATCTCCAGAAATACAAGATACAGAAAATGAAATCACTTTATTTTAAATAAGGTCTTCATAAGTGCAATGCTAAACGGCAGGAAAAGAAAATCTATTGAGATATTATTGCAAGGTAAATTTATTTTGGGTTTATTCAAGAAAGAAAAGATGTAACTTTTTTTTAGACACGAACTTCGTATAGTGAAAACAATAACACATTTGTCCTTCTTTGAGATATTAAAAAAGAAGGTAACATTCCTTTCCTTTGAAGTTACAAAAGGCTGTAAGTTAATATAATCAGATAGTTGTATTTATTATCGTCATGCAATATGATAGAGCTATTATTTTGCAAATTGTTTATAATGCTGTAAGGATCCTAAGTTTTACTAACGTTTGTTTTATTTTAAAAATGTACTATCACTTCTTATTTTCTACTTCCGGCCAGAATTAAATGCTTTAACTTGTTTATTCAAATTGTCTTGCTAATGCCGAAGTATTTAAGTTGTGGCTTTTTGCCGAGAGAGAAAGAAGGAGATTTAGGAAGCGAGCCGCTTGCCACTGCAGGGTTATGAGTTTTTCACTCGGTTGCTGTTTGCCTTTAAGGCCAGAGGTTTAGCTCTCTTGATACACTCATGTCCATAAATTAGGGATAATGCAAAATCAGGCGAAGAAAGAGTTAGAAGCAAAACCAATTTGACTTATTTGTAAAGCTTATTTATTAAACAAAAGGTAAAGAGCTATGTGTTAAACAAAAGGTAAAGAGCTATATGTATAAAAAAGGATGCTATATGTTTGATATTATTAAAAAAATTAGCGATTTTTTTCCCTGGAGCAAATTACAAAAAAAAATCTGTTTATAAAAAACCAATATTACATGGTTGGTATGATTGTTAATACATTGTATGTCTCCCAGACGATGCAATACAGTCCGTACAACGCCTAGGCATGCTGAGTATCAAATTTCGATCTGATCTTGGGGGATATTACACCACTCAAAAAGCAATGCTCTCCGAAGTTCCGGTAGACATGTAGGAGGAGGTTGACGGGCTGCTACTCGTCGGCCAAGCATGTCCCACACGTGCTCTACTGAATTCAAGTCCGGTGAGAATGCTGGACAGTCCATACGGGTGATATCCTCCGACTGAAGGCATCCGCTTACGATGTTTGCACGGTGAGGAAGGGTGTTGTCATCCATAAACACAAATTGTGCGCCCATGGCGCCCCGAAACAAACGTACATGTTGTTCCAGAATGACGTCCCGATAGATTTGGCTTGCCATGGTTCAAATATGAACATGCAGGTCAGTTCTGGAACCCATAATATTCCACCCCAAACGAGCACTCCTGCACCACCGTAACGGTGTCGTTCAATGATGTTCTTGGTGGTAACGGGTACCTGAAGCTCTCCACATGAAAGTCCGGCGAGAATCAGACTGCAAGCTAAACCTGGGCTCATCGGAAAACATCACACAAGCCCACTGTTGCGGTCCACAATGCATGCTCTCTACTCCAGGCTAACGGCAGGCGATAGTGAGTTGCAGTAAGTGGAGCGCATCTGAACGCATCTACGAGCATATAGACCAATCTGCCCTAAGCGTCTGTACACGGTCTGGCTTGAAATTGTCGCACCAGTGGCTGAAGAGAGCTGACGAGACAGGTCTGAGGCTGTGCTCCGCCTGTTTCGTTTGGCAGTAACTGCCAAATACCGGTCCAAATTCGGCGTTGTAACTGGGGCGACCTGTGCTGTAACGGCTACTCACATTACCATCATCTTGGAATCGTTGCCAAAGCCTGGAGATGACACTCTGGGCAATTCCAAGTTCGTCTGATACTTCCAGTTGGGTACGCCCACATTCCAGACGGCAGATAATTCTACCACGTAAAAAATCATCCAAATGCGTCCTTTGTGTCATAACTATTCGGTTATTGCACTGAAATGCTTATAAAGCGCCTGCGAACAGTTTTACTTCTTTGCCTGTATTCCTTATATATCACTCTCTTACACTCTCGTCATTGTGACGTACCATCGGTGTCATCTGGTTACTTCCTGAAATTTGCATATGATTCTTGAAGATGTGTGTAGTGATTTTACAGGTGATATATTTATTTTAGAGTTCGATTTCCGCGTGACTCCGAATTATCCTTAATTTATGGACATGAGTGTATTTGAAAACGAATTATAGCTTCAGCATTTCGGCGTACTATATACGCACCCTTTTAAATAAAGGCCAGTCTTAGTGCTAGGCATTTGTATACTAATTCAAAGTTATCTTTTAGTTAGAGTTTTAAGTTAGTAGTTTTATACTTTTACGTTCAGACCACAAGTGGTTGGTCTCTGTATCCCGAAGTTTGGGAGTACCCGTAAAGTAACAGAGAATAAAGGGTTTAGTATATCCTTCCTGCTTGTATCGTCTACTATTCCACACAATCTGGAACAGAGCTTTAGTAAGCTCACTGTTCTTATTCAGGATACTGTATATTCCCGAAGCAAGTGAAGGGGCATACGTCACCTGACAATGCAATTGGTTGAAAATCGCTAAAAATATATTTGATTTACTTCATCACCAGTAATATCTCCAAATTTTATGAAATAATATCTCCATATTTTATTAAAAGTCTTAATAAGATAACAGATGACACAAAAATGTACAAATGAAACATGAAGAAAAGATATAATACGTAATGAAACATAAGCAAACGGTTTTTGTTAATACTCATATATGTTAAAAAATATTTAAACATTTTATCTCACCTGAAACTTCTGTGACATTTCATAATACAGACATCTGTAACATGTAAATTTCCTGTGCACAGAAAATAAATTTTTAACTTATAGTGCTCCTGTAGTATCTAGAGTGTTGCATTTCTTGCTAATGCTGAAACTTTAAATGAGAGCAACTGGTACCTCTTAAAAAGGTAGCTTGAAGACCTTCTTAAAAATCTGTATAAACTAGTAAATATATTTCGTAATCCTAATGTCCATTTGCAGACGACTTAAAAAGTGAAATCCAGAGAGCAATGAAGCATATCATGGACAACACTTGCCTAAAATTCGTTCCATGGGATGGATTAGAGCGAGGTTATATCAAGATCTTTCCCGGCGAAGGGTAAGATTGCATTGCCACACATAATAATGTTTCATAAATTCCCAAATCGAAATTATATATTTTAAATTAAAAATTTCTATTATTGTGTTATCTTTACTGTTTCTGTGTCTTTTGCATTCTACTTTTTATTTCATGCATTACAATTTAAGGTTCAGTCTGGAGCCAGAATATTAAAAAATGTTGTCATTAGTGTATATCAAGAGCAATACCTCCTATCATAACTTGAAAATTGATGCTAATAGTTTTAACACATTTAAGCATAAACGGTACTAGGTACTTTTTGGAAGTAGGAGAATTGAAAAATTAGTAACCGCCTTCGCCGGGAATCGAACCACGGACCTCTGAAATACCGGCCCAGCATGCAGAACCACTACTCAACGAAGGCACGCTAGGAAAGCGGGAGAGATACCTTATATACTCCCCCCCTTTAAAGAGCGACTGGGGTTTTTAGGGTATCCAATCGCCAAATCCTGGGTGTGGAGAGTTATCAATAACAACCCTTTTAGTTCGAGCGCCACTGTAGAGACATTAGGTATTTCTGGTAGCAGGCAAGATGAAAACTGAGCAACCGCCTTCGCCGGGAATCGAACCACGAACCTCTGGAATACGGGCCCAGCGTGTAGAACCACTACACTACGAAGGCACGCTAGGAAAGAGGGAGAGATACCTTATAAACTTATTGAAGAGAATTAAAGAAGAAAAAAGTGTTGATTGAGGGAAAAAAAAAAAAAAAAAAAAAAAAAAAACAGCAAAATCAGATTAACGTAAAGTTTGAATAGAACTCTGCCAATTTCGAAGATTATCGGATACATTTTCCTCTTTTTTCTGGAGCAAAACAGTCTTGTATTAAACCCAAAATTTTATTAATCAAGAGAAATAAAAACGGAAAAATAAAACCTCAACAAGTTTCGGGAAGTTAAATAGCCATAGTTAAAATCAATGGGTATCCATATAACAAAGCAGGGAAATTAGACGAACTGCGAAACAGCAACAAAATAGTGTTCACATGATTGAAAAAAAAAAAAAAAAAAAAAAAAGGTGTCACGTAATTTGTTCGTGCAGTTTTTCAAGAGAAATAAAAACGGAAAAATAAAACCTCAACAAGTTTCGAGAAGTAAAATAGCCATAGTTAAAAATCAATGGGGATCCATATAACAAAGCGGGGAAATCAGACGAACTACGAAACAGCAACAAAATAGTGTTAACATGATTGAAAAAAAAAAAGGTGTCACGTAATTTGTGCGCGCAGTTTTTAGTTTCTTCTAGCAGTACCGGAGTGTCTAAAGGTGCTGAACGCTGATGCTAGTTCTCTTCTTGCTACATTTTTAAAGAATGGATTGGCTTCACACAGATTTCTTCCTGAAGAACATAGCCGAAATATAGAATTCTATTCAAAATCTACGTCAATCTGAAATTGCTGCTTTGCCTAATTTTAAAGCGAATCAATTATTATATTTCAGTGCTTGTACTAGAATGTCAAATATTTAAATACTTAATTGTCCTTCGTTTTCCATCAGTTAGTAGCTTGTTCTAATAGGATAGTATATGAGAAAGATACCAAGGTTTAACGTTTATTCTAAAAGTATGGTTGTTAAATATTTTCAGGTGTGACTAAATTATTAAAGTTTATACAAAACACTGAGTAAAAATCCTTTAAAAGAATTAAATGTTTCAATGGTTTTTTTACTTTTTTCATGCAGAAAGTGTTCCTTGAAAGTTCTGCGTCTGTAGCACTGTTTGTGGCTCAAGTCTGCTTTCTGTCACTTGTTTTCAACTTTAAACAGTACTGTAATAGAATTAATAAACACAGTCAAAAGTCTTTAATCCGGACTCGTCGGGACTTCAACGATTCCGGATTATCGGTTTTTCCTGATTATAGGTCATCAATTTAAATCCGGTAAGATGGCATGTATAAATTATAAAATTCAAAATTAGAAACCGTAATTTATGAAATAAAGAGTAATTATGATCTAAAAGGTATCAAAATTTACAAAAAAAAAAAAAATAATAATAATAATAATAATAATAATTAATATTATTTGTTTATTTCTAGCAGTACCGGAGTGTCTAAAGGTGCTGAACACTGATGCTAGTTCTCTTCTTGCTACATTTTTAAAAAATGGATCGGCTTCACACGGGTTTCTCCCGGAAGAACATAGCCTAATTATAGAATTCTATTCAAAATCTACGTCACTCTGAAATTGCTGCTTTGCCTAATTTTAAAACGAACCAATTATTATACTTCAGTGCTTATGCTAGAATGACAACTATTTAAATACTTAATTTTCCCTCGTTTTCCATCAATTAATAGCATTTCTTTCAACGCTTGCATGCGTAAAGCATACATTACACATAGTCGAAATTAGAAAATTGCAACCAAAAAACTATTTGATGAGTATTCGTGATATTTATAATGACGAGAAATTTGATTTAAATCATATCAAAGACGGAGTACATCGAGATGAAATACTACATTTAGTAATGAATTATAAGTCGAATAAAATAAAAACATCTGCCCTGAAGATAAGGAGAGTGCTGACAAATCAACTACCAGTTCATTGCGCGCCGCGAAGTTCCCCCTTCCGGCAGAGCAGCGTGAAATTGATAAACAAATTTCGGAATGGTTAGAGAAACAAAGGATAAGCCTTTATCCATTTTTTGCAGCAATTCCACTTTTTGTTTGATGGACATCGAAACATGCTTTCACTTTGTAGATCCTTTGGCAGCTCCAGAATCGGAATTTTTTTTTGACATAATCGAAAGTTCAAGCTTACTTTTATAAAATTGCTCTAACAGTCTGCAAAAAATAAAAAGCCGGATCCAATTCGAAGATTAAGGAACAACGCAATCTGCAACGTTAACTGAAATAGATAATTAGATAATTTTAGCTTAGCTTATACCGTCCGTTATACATTAAACGCGCATGCGTATACGTATTATGCGCATGCGTAAAGGTATTATAAAGAAAAGGTCTAGATTTTCTGGTCCGGATCTATAATCCGGATCTATAATCCGGACCATAGATCATTCCGGATTTTGGACGTCCGGATTAAAGACGTTTGACTGTAATATAAAAACACATGCTATCATTTGTCCTATGAAATTCTCTTCCATTAAGATAAGAAAATCAATTCTAACATATTTACCCTGTAGGTGCTACTCATACTGGGGAAGAACGGGCAAGATCCAACCCGTATCATTAGGTTTCGGGTGCGAGCCGATAGGTACTATCATCCACGAGCTGACCCACGCAATTGGCTTCGATCACGAACAGAACAGGTCAGACAGAGATGATTACCTCATTATCTACTGGCAGAACATTTGGCCTGGTAAGTCCAAATATGAAAAAAAATTCTCTGTAACAATATCCCTTGTTTCAGTAGATTTGGACTTGAATATTATCTCTAAGATTTCAGAGCTTCTGATTCGTGGATCTTAATTTATGTTGCAATTACACTGTACAATCTTAATTTACAATTACATAGTACACAGAAGAATAAAGAAGGCTTTAAGTGCAAGTTGACTGTCACAAATAACGTGCGATTTGAACTTTCTGTCTTCCCATTATTTTTCAAGAATGGTCAGCAGCAGCTTTACCATCGTAATTACCATCAACTTACAATAACAGTAGCAGCATTTGCGTTAGTTAAAGTTTCGAGGATTAAGATGCAAATCTTATTTAATCACAGATGTGTAACCATCTCATATTTAATTGCTGCAAATAATACGCATTTCCTGAGCGAATCTTAAATTTCTAGTATTTATTTTCAATGGTTTCGAAAAACAAAATGCATTGTTATATGGTTCAGTATTTATACAACAAAAGGGAAATAAAATATTAAAAAAAATCTGCTTTATAATTCTTTAAAAGCGGTTCAATAAATTAAGCCTATCTTGGCCATATTAGGAGAAAATTTCCCCTTGATAGAAAATTATGTCATGTTTAAATGAAGTATTACGCTTGACTGCATACAGCTGAATAAGATGGTTTACAGTGCCATAAGGATAAATACTTTAAATTTCTACTTCACAGGCATTAAGTATCAATACATGTTAACTATGAATCGTAATCAAGCAAAAAAAAAAAAAAAAAAAAAAAAAAAAAAAAAGCTTATGATATTTACATCATAATGCGAAGATACTCTTAAATTTCTTTTGAAATTAAAGTTTGTATATATTATTTATCAATATATAAAAGCAACAAAAAGAGGTTGTTAACTGAAATGGATTTAATTTTGACCTCTGGGTTCAGATATTCTTGTATAAAGGGATACAAAATCTCAGCCCTTAACCTGCAAATGAATGTTCTAGTGAATTACAAACCTTCTGATACAAACAGTCAGCCTGAAAATGTTAGGGGGCTAGTGTTTGAAGTTTTGCTGGTCGTATTCTGCCAACTTTTCAAGTTACATGGAAGACAGATGCACTCCGTCATATATCAAAGATGTTAATCCCTACAACATTTGCCATACATGTTGTCATTGTACCGTGATGTTGCGCAATGAGTTTCTCCCAATTCCATCCCAGTTTAGATTGAATATATTACAGAAGCATGATCTATGCGTCTAGAGTTCTTGTTCACTACTGTCGTCGTAAAACAAAATTCTTGTGACTAGTGATAATATAAGAATTGCTAAGGTGTCAAAGCGTCATGCAGCTTTATACACTCAGAGGTAGTACTCATATCTAACAAATTCTAATTATGGGATCACAATGGATTAGAAACGCCTCTACTTCGATTAGATACCAGAATGGCAAAAGTCCATTTGTTAACTGGTCCTTGAAGTGTGAGCCTTCAACATGCAACTTTCACTAATTATACCAGCAGACACGTCTATTTTATGAACATATTATAATCACAAATGTGCATACTTATAGGAGATTCAAACCTTTACCTGCAGCATAGAAGTAGCTTTCACTAATTATCATATTGATCAGATGGCATAGAAATAAATAACAGCACTTTTCGTTTCTGGGTATGACAACGTGAAATTTTAAATACACTTGTCAAAAGAAGGAATTGAAAAAGCTGCCAAATAACATAAATGTTTCTCATAGGCTCTTCGTTTTCCCATTAATGCTATCTTAACATAAGTTGAAACATACTCGTATTTAAGAAGGCCAAAAGGCAGATTTATTTATCAACCGAGCTTATTAAAATTATTAATTATATTACAAGTTCTGTTTCATCTTAAGATGAATACGAAATTATAATAAGAAGTACTTTTAAATTTTACAAAGTGTATTTTTTATTTTTAATTAAAAAGTAATTTAATATTTATGTGGTAAAACCTTCTTGAAAAAGACATATAAGAAACTACTTGAAAGGACAGCACGTTTAATTACATTTAAAGTTTTACATTTTTAACAAATATGTTAGTTATAAACTGAATTAACTTCTTCAATACATTTTTATTTACGTCTTTATCGTCGTCGTTCTTTTACTGCATCTTGAGTCCAACTCATCTAATTGCCAACTCACAAAACGAAAAATAAAACATTACAAGAATTATACGATGAGCAATCTGTACGCCATGTGGTATTCAACATTGGCACTACATCATTCGACCGTCCTGCACTCATCTGGTCCTCCAGGCGACAATGCAAATACAAAGAAAAGACAAAAGCAAAACAAGAAAGATAATAAAAATAAAAGTTAAATGTTTTTAGAGTCCTGATCATCTTTCAGTTTCAAGAATTAGAAAATGAGCAAACGTCGTCTTCAAGCTTCATCTACCATAGAAACAGGTAGTTTAACGTCTTTAACCCGCAGTTTCTTCATTTTTAGGCATCCTCTCGTTCTTCTTTTAGGCTTTTTTCTTTTCGTCGTTAAGCGTCTTTCCTTTCGTCTTAAGAGCGTCATCTCTCTCTCTCTCTCTCTCTCTCTCTCTTTTTTTTTTTTTTTTTAGTTTTCGCCTTCATACAAAAATATATAATCCAAATCTTTTTTTTGTTAGATCTGTCACCGTCTGTATTGAAAATAAATTTGTGTAAAGTTCTAATTTTATCTGCTTTACAATTCTTTAATGCAATGTTGATTTGTTTTATTTCACTTAGAATCATTGTCAAATATGAAAACAAAATCTACATACCTTCTATCTTCCGAGTTATTTCAACATGTAATCTTACGTAGAATTTCAGAATTGCTTGAAGCGGTTTATAATCCCACTTCTGATATAATATGTGGTAATACCGTCTTGAAAAAGACATCTAAGAAACTACTTGAAAGGACAGCACGTTTAATTGCATTTGAAGTATTTACATTTTTTAACAAATATGTTAGTTATAAACTGATTAACTTCTTCAATACATTTTTATTTACGTCTTTATCGTCGTCGTTCTTTTACTGCATCTTGAGTCCATCTAATTGCCAACTCACAAAACGAAAAATAAAACATTAAAAGAATTATACGATGAGCAATCTGTACGCCATCTGGTATTCAACATTGGCACTACATTTATAAAGTTTGAAACTGAGATAATGCCATTTTGTGAATTTTATCTGTGGTGACTGCCTCTTAAAGTGACCAATATTTCTCAGAACATAAATAAATGTCAGTATTGAATGTCACGTGTTAAAGACCAACAAATCCTCAGAAAAGTAAAATCATTTGGAGTCGAATGTGGTCATTTTATAGAGGATTCATTCCTTACAACATTTTAGATAAATATTCTAGATCAGGCATCGGGCAACATTTCCTGGCTGCAGATCAAAATCGGCCAAAATAATGTATTAAGAAAATGTTTCGAGTCAATTATTTTAATATTTCGGTAAATAATAAAAAAGAGAAAATAATTATAATACCTTTAAACATAATTAAATATATTGCAAAAACAAATTTGAAAACTTTAACTTTCCGATTAATGCTCCCAAGGCCCAAGGCGATATTTTCCGGAGTACCTTTGCAACTTAATGCAATTACCTACCTCCACAACTTCGTTAAGGAAAACTGAGGTGATTAAGAAAAGCACTGGCTGAAGGGTAATGAAGGAGACCATTAAGGGTTTACGGGGAAAGAAGTGAATAAGGAGTCCACACTATGGACGAAAAAATTCTTTCTGCTTTCTTTCAACCTGTTTTACTAGGATTGAAAGAGAGAGAGGTGATGATATAAGGCGAATTCCTGAATGCATTGCATTAATGGAATCGGAAAGATTGGAAGACAATCAGCCGGGAAACATAATTTTCCAGGGCTTGGGAAAGGTATATTAGGTAATACGGAAAACCGCAGTAGTTGCTAATGCCTTGGGGATGGGCTGGGGGGGGAGAGAGTCTTGCGACTAAAGCTCGGAGCAAGGGATGGTGGAACGAAAAGAAGGGGGGAAAAGGATTCAAGAGAGGCGAAAAAGTTCTCCTACCGCCCGTGGCGAGGGAAGAATAGGAGCAACTTTTGGAGTGGAAAGAACCGTGAAGAAAGTTAACTGTAGAAAAGACGGAGAAGTTTTTAAGATAGTTAAAAGGAAGAAGGGGAGGAAAAGTGGTTTAAGTTGAGAGGAGAGGTGGATTAAAAAGGGAAAGAAAAAAATATGGGACAGGATTAACCAAAATTACCTGATTGCAGATGATGTTTGAAGATATGCAAGCTTGTACATTTATGCAGATTGCTGGAACAAAAATTCATATAATAAAAGTGTTTTGAGTAGCATATGAGGGAGTTAGATTTTAAAGATTAGAATAATTAATTTAAATTTTAATAGCAAAATAGTTTAAGTTGTTTAATAAATATTAAGAAATCGTTAAAGCTAATTGTGCAATTCTGATTTAATTGTCTGGACCGTGTTTTATGAAAAGATGAGGTCTTGGCAAGTGGAGGAGCATGTTACCTATAGCAGCACGGATATAAAACCGAGAAACGAGGCCGAATTAGGTCCGGCGGGCATGTGGAAGTATAGAAATAGTTAAGGGTCGCTGGGTTAGGCCCGTGAAGTGCTTGTTAATTTAAAAATTTTTAGAAAGAATTCCTAGTCAAGCAGACACCTCCGCTTTGGCTTCCTAGGAAAGATGTTATAAGTTCTATCAAGAACGCTCCTAGGTCGCTTAGCTGAGCTGGGCTCAGCTGGATCATAAGCAGGAAGTGAATGCAAGACTGGGTTTTCGATCTGTGTTAATCTATTAAAGAATTTGGCCAAATTTTGCCGGAAAAAGGCATCAAGGGGTAGAATTTTGAGATCGTTATGAAGCACTTCATTACGGACGAAATAATGAGCATTTGTCAGAATACGAAGCGTTACGCTCTGGAATACTTGAATTTTCTTCAGGTGGCTATTGGCAGCAGTTGACCAGACGACAGCAGCGTACGTCAGGATCGGTAGGATGGTGCTCTTGTATAGAAGGATCTTGTTATTGAGGGAGAGGTTGCTGGTTCTTTTGAGGAGAGACATCAGTTGGGTTCTTGTAGTTCTTGCTTTGGAGATGGCATAATTGATGTGGGTATTCCAGAGCAGCTTCGCATCTAGATATAACTCCCAGATATTTGTAGGATTCCACCCAGGGTACATTTTCTTCAAATAATCTGAGTGGAGGGAGTTGACTATGGACATTCCTCTTTCTGGAAAAGAAAACTGTGGCGGCACTTTTTGCGACATTAATTTTGATTTTCCAGGTAATGAGCCAGGACTCCAAGTCTGTTAAATGTTAAATACAGCTGTAGGTGATTGAGAGTGGCATGTAATGTTGAGTGCTGTGAAATGATGGCTGTGTCGTCTGCATAGAGTGCTAGATCGACACTTGGTGTTTGTGGTATGTCATTTACATACAAGTTGAAGAGCGTAGCGCTAAGAATTCCTCCCTGAGGCACCCCCCCGCCAGGATAGGGCGAGGAGAAGAGACAGAATATTTTAACTTTGACAGAAAAGGTACGATTAGTGAGGTAAGAGTGCATTATGTGCACAAAATTAGCCGAAATTTCAAGTCGCATGAGCTTGAATAAAATTCCGATATGCCAACATCTCGAAATCTTTGCGAAAGCCTTTGCTAATTACTAAATAAACAATAGCTGTAGGCTTTCCACTGCGAGATCCTGTATGAATGATTTCAACTACCTCAGTAGCTGGGCCTGAGTTGAGTGTTTAGCACGAAAGCCGAATTGCTGATAATAATAATTTCTATTTCGGTTTGAAATCATTCAGGTATCTATCTAAGCAGTATAGCTTCGTAAATTTTACTAAGTGAAGACAAGGCTGATCGGCCTAATTTTGAGGGACCTTTGGGTCCATTCCAGGTTTTAGAATAGGAATGATTCTAATGCATTCCAGCTATGAGGATAATATTTTAGCCTTAGCATTGAATTTATCAAAAGGTAAAATAATGAATTTTAACTGGTAAATTTTTAATCATGCGATTAGAAATCCTATCCAGGCCAGGTGCTTTTGCAGGGGTGAGATTTTTGATAAAGCAGAAATCTCAGTCATTGTTGTGGTGATGGGTTCCTCAGAATTGTGTATCTGAGGAGAGAAATTCTTCAACTTGGTGTTGGACTTCATGCGTGTGCTCTGCACAGGAATCGAACATGAGTCCAGTGTTAGGTGAAAATTGTGTTTGAAGGCTGTCTGCTATGCGTTCAGCCTTTTCGGTGTCTGTTAATGCCATCCGGTCGTTGACCGTGCCCATTAGGGGGGGAATGTCGTGTTTTGGTTTGCGAAGCCGTGCGCTAGCAACCCAGAGGCTATTATCAGAAGTCTTTAAGGACTTAAGATAGTTTGCGTATTTTTCGTCTGTGTATTTCTTAATGTCAGACTTGATCTCATTCTGGATCCTTCGCAGTTGCACTCGAAAGTTTTCCAAACGTGTATTTTGCCAATCTCTGCGAAGGCGGTGTTTTAATTTTGATTTTATCTTTAATGTGATCAGGTAATTTATAATAATTTTGCCTGAATTTGGGTTTGGAAGCAGCTGTAAATGCGCTTCCTAGGGTTTGGTTGAGCCTGTCAATGGCAAAATCAACCTCCTGATTATCGTGAATTTTGATAGGGGGGAGAATACCATTTTCCAAGACATACCGAAAGTTGTCCCAATTTGTGGAGACTTGCGCCGGTAAATTTTGGTTAATTTTGGATGTTTTAAGGGTGAGGTGAACCGGATAATGGTCAGAGGACAATTCCGGAATCACTTCGATCGAATAATCTACTGGAATATTTTTAAATAAGGCCAAATCAATAATGGAAGGAGCACCTAACCCCCCAGGAAACTGGTAATGGGTAGGTGTGTTTGGCGCAATAATTTGGATACGGGCGTCCTGAGCCCAAATTTTGAGTTTATCGCCATAGTTGTTGGCAGTGACACAATCCCAACTTCTATGACGGGCATTTAAATCTCCTGCGATAATCAGGTTATTTGCTACACCACTTAATTTTCTGAGATCAGAGATAAATGCGGGTCCCTGTCTCGGAGGCATATAGCAGGACGCTACTGCTATTGGGGGACAATTTGGAATATGAATTTGTACTATAGTCGCTTCTAAGGCCTCCAGTGGTGGCGTGGGTATCCTAGAATGTTTTAGGGAGCGTTTTACATAAATGCTAGTACCGCCACTAGCACGAACAGTGTCACTGATGCATACCTCTCTGTCATTTCGGTAGCAGAAATAATTCGCGATGTTCGCGCTAAGTCCCTCAACCAGATGTGTCTCCTGAACGAGGAAGAGGTCCATGTGATGCTCATTAATAAAATCCCGGACTTCGTGAATCTTCTTCTTGATTCCGTTAGCATTCCAGTAGGAGATCAGGAGAGAATCTTCACTAGTTGCACAGTTGAACTTGAGGCCTTTAGTTTAAGGAGGCCACAGTATGCCTCATAAATATAAAATGCTCTCTCAGGCCCCGAGGAGACAGTTCGGAGCTTTGGTAGAGCATTTCTAAAAGCCTCGAGGAGGATCTTGATGTTCAATACCGAATTCCGAGGCGATTTGGAAAAACGCTCCGGAGGGTATCTGTGCAACTTGCCATCATCTACGGTCGGGGCTGGAGCCTGGGCCGGTGGAGTTGGCTGGAAGAGGAGGACTCTGCTTCGGGCTTGCTTCGTGCAGGGGCTTGCTTCTGGTCCTTTTTGTAGTGATGATGGTAGTCCGGGATTTTTCCGTCCGGAAACGACATCACTAAAAGAGGGATCCGTGCTGCTAATGAGGAGCTTTAGCCGGAGCCGGTACAAATTTTGAAATCCCGCTATCCGATCTAATAGGGGGGTTTTTATTTTTGTTTGGCTGGGTTTTTCGGGGACAGTGAAACCAGTTGGCTGCGTGCCGCCCAAGGCAGTTCGCGCAGGTGTTGGCTTCCTCCGGGTCTTTGGTGCATTGGTACGCGTAATGCGGGCCGGCGCACCTCAGACACCGGATTGGCAGTGTGCACACTGCGGAACTATGGAAGAAGCCTTGGCAGCGCCAACACTGGCTCGGCCCCTTCTTCCCGATATGTTTCTCGAATTTGATTCTCAATGCCAAACATTGTGGTTTCTTCAAAAATGTCATAGACATTTAAGCAGGATTTAGCTGGACTAAAAATAATGGCATTGGATAGCGGGACCTGTGCCTACGGAGTTGGGTTACAGATATGACAGAATAACCCAGGAGTTGCAATTCAGCTTTGATTTTATCTGCTTTTGCTGAGTTGGGTAAGCCGCGTAATATTGCCTTTACGGGCCGATCCTGCTTAAGGTTAAACGACTTATATTCGGCGCCCTGATTGTTTAAAATTTGGGCTACCGAACGATAGTCTTCCTCGGACTGCATTTCTATGCGGAGAAAACTTACCCTTCATTCCTGCAGATGGCCGTAGGCACAGTAGCTTGCACTAAGGAGGTAAGAAATTCAAAGTCTTTTGGGCTCTACAAAGAAGAAAGGAATTTTTTTCTTTGAATTCTTAGAGCTTTCAGTAGGGGGGGAAGTACCGTCTCCGGGTTGCTCCACGAGATCGCTTTTTCTTCCACCCTAACCGCAGGTTGGGTGGGAGGCAATTCCTCCTCCGGTTGTTCGCTCCAAAATGGAGGTAGGCTATTGTTAGGTTGTGGTTTCGAAGGGGAATTTGGCGCACCTCGTGCTACAAGATGAAGAGGAAGAATCCTTATGTCAAATTTTAAATCTTTTGTTTCAGCAAGTATATTTTTATAGAACAATTGCGATTTTCTGAAGAATATTCATCGCGATCTCTATAATTATTTGCACTCCCTAACACAAGCCACATGCCAATGAGCCTATTAATCGTAAAAAATCTTTCCTATCCTATCGCTTTTTTGCGTTTTAGTGTTGTACTGTGTATATAAAATTATAAAAAACCAAAAAAAGTATAAAATATAAAATACAAAAAAATTTTAAAAACCAAAAAACTTATAAAAAAATTATGAAACTTAAGTTTTTATTTCTCATCTCTATCCCTAAACTCTCTCGAGCCTGTGGCTCCCTCTAGTGTGCATCAAGTAAATCACTTATGCCAAATTTTTCTTATTTCTGCTCGCTTTTATTAATTCTGATGTGGAGGTAGATGGTTTTGAACCATAGGAACTCCGAAATTTTTAAATCATTGGCATTGCATTGGTACGGGAGAAATCTGTTTAGGGCCACTCCATCTTACTTCCTACCTCCATGTAAAGACGCCTTCGTTGAAGACCTCCTAAAGAAATCTGACTCATGTATACGTCACCCGCGGAGAAAACCCACCATGCCGTCAGCTCGTTCGCCAGGATTCAAAATCCGGCCTGAATGTGTTCAGCGGCTTTACTACTTGTAGGAAGATTTTGTGCAGATTCTTCATCAAGTATCTAGACGCCGCAGATTTTCTCACACTTAACATACTTTTCTAACATGGGACTTCAGATTACGTCTATTATTTACGCTCCAGCTCATTGTAGCCCGTATTTACTGCCGAATTGTTCGATCTTTCGAAATCCGGGTCTTTTATTCGCCTAACCTTCTCCTTCCTTCTTCCGGTGTCCCTCTCGAGATCTGCGGTCAAGACTAATTCCTGTGAGATGTCCAGAACTTTACAAAGGAGCTGAGCCGGACCGCGATGTTTCTGGCTCAGTGACGGTCAGATATCAGCTCAATACCCGTCAGATACTGCAGTGTGAATTTTACTGTGTATTCTTACTGGAATGTAGCTTTTTTTTTTTTTTTTTTTTTGAAAGAAATAATATTGTGATAGTTTACTGGTAGTTTATCTACGACTCTTTATCATTTGTTATATTTTTACTGTAGCTGTGACTTTCGGAAATCAAATTGCTTGCAAAATTTTCCGCTCTCGATTTTGAGACGATAAAATTAGTTAAAAAAATCTGATGAAAAATCCAAATAACTTCCTAGCATGGAATATTAAATTATACGCATTTTTCTTGCATTTCATTTACACGTATTGGATTGAATTAAATCTACTTCATCGATAACGCATAAACCACAATAGAATAAATGCACTCTTTAAACTTCACTATATTTGTTTACCATAGCGACACTCTGACGCAGATTCACTTAACAGCGTTATATTTCGTTCATATTAAACTCAGAATGCACAAAATTTATATCATTTGAAGAATTATCTAATCGTTCCCACATGTTCTATTCAAATACCATAATAAATCTAGAATGATGTATAAAAGAAATTAAGCAAACAAAACAAAAAAGAAACAGATTTTCACAGACGATTCAGTATTTCTCATTCAATTAATTCAGTTCTCACTTCGCGACAAGACAAAATACATAAAAACTCAAAATATCTATATTACAAATTACGAAGTAAATCTTAAACGCTTATTTCCTCGAATAAATTCCAGAATGGATGAAGCATGATTTAATTCGCAATAATAAAAGAAGGCGTTATCTTTGTTGTCGCGAAGCTTAGTTTCTCTAGACTGGTAATAAATCCGTTATTCCGCCAAGTTTCAAATGTAAATAAACATGACCGCCATCGCAAAAATAATTAGGCTTAGCCGCACTTAAACAACTTTTAAATTGTTGATTACTCTAAAAATATTGCATGCAAATTTTTTAAAATAAAACTTACATAAAAACCTTAACCGGAAGATAAGAACAACGTAATTCAATCATTTTTAAAGCAAAGAACGCACAATTTATAAACATATAGGAGTAAAGAAACTGAGATCATATACGTTTGGTGCGGCCGATTGCAACCAGAATACGAGGTGCACATCTACATGTTATAGCAGTCCTATATACAAAATTTCAACGTTCGGAAGCTACTCGTTTTTGAGTTATGCGAGATACGTACGTACATACAGACGCTACGAAAAATTCTCTTTAGAATTCATTTTAAAGCAGTTTTATAATCTTTTGGAGGGAAAGAGTCTTTTATTATGTCCTTACGTACAGATGTCACGCAAAAACATCGTTCAATTGCATACGATAGCGGTCAAAATGGATATTTTCGTTGAAATATGCTGCCTGAAACTTTTCGCGATTACAATACTTCCTTTTTACTTGATACAAGGAAGTAAAAAAGAGGGAGATACGACATGAAATACATATGAAATTACGAAATTCGTATACGTACAAAAGAAGACCCCAACAGTTTGCTCTTCAAGAAGCACTTCCAATTGCCTTCTGTCGACATCCTCAATGAAACTATCCGGTCTGTCTCTGTTTTCAATCAGCCATTGTAAGAGCGCGTCTGGTTTCTTGAGATCTCCTATAATAGGTAACGTTGCATTAAGAATAACATCTTAATTAAAAATCATGGACAATGTTTAATGACGTTATGATTTGGTATTCAATTCATAGAAACCATTTCAAATGAATTAATAAGAACCGCTGATAATTTTAAGGCCATAACAACATTTTAACTTGAATTCATAATTAATATTTAATTATGCTACTATGAATTTCAGTTCCTAGGAAACATTTTAAACGAATGAATAAAAGCTGCAAATAATTTTAAAGCGAGAAGAACATTTAAATTTAAAGCCACGGATAACATAGTTAAGCTATGATTTTACTTTTATTTAATAAGAACTATTTTAATTGAATTAATAAGAACAGTCTCTAAATTTAAGGAGGGAATTTTAATCTAAAATCATGGATAATGTTAAGTTTCATTATGATTTCACACTCAATTAACAAGAGCCATTTCAAATGAATTAGCAAGAACTGCTTATTATTTTAAGTTGAGATAAACTTTTCTTAACTTCATATCAGGGATAATGCTCAGGTGCGTAATGATTTTATTTTCAATTAATACGAATCATTTTGTAGAGTCATTAGGTTAATTGGAAGCAGAAAAGATGAAAAATATGCAACCGCCTTTGCCGGGAATACAACCACGGACCTCTGGAATACCGACCCAGTGTGCAGAACCACTACACCACGAATGCACGCTAGGGAAGTGGAAGAAATACCTTATATACTGCCCTTTTTAGAGGGCGACTAGAGTTTTAGGGGGCCTAGTCGCCAAATCCTGGGAGCGGAGAATCATCATCCACAACCCTTTTATTTCGGGCGCCACTTGTAGAGTCATTAGGATTTTTTAGGAGGCCGGAGAGATGAAAAATTAACAACCACCTTCGCTGGGAATCGAACCACGGACCTGTGGAATACCTACCCAGGGTGCTACCGTTACCCACGAAGGCACGCTAGGGAAGTGGGAGAAATACCTTATAATTTTAAATGAATTAATATTAAGAACCGCATATAATTTTAAAGTTAACATAACATTTTAATTCAAAATCGCGGAAAACGTTTAATTACATTATAATCTGACTTTCAAATAATAAAAATCGTTTGAAATAAATTAACATTAAGAAGTATTTACGATTTTAAAGTGAGATTATTTTAATTTAGAATCATCGCTAATGTTTAATTACGTTATGAATTAATACGACGCATGCATTATTATGAATCAAAATTGTTTGAAACTTTAAACTTTCCCGGTATGGTTCCGCTACGTAGACGATACTTTTACCCTGTTTGAAGTTTAATAAAGATGATTTAAATAAAGTTCTTTCAACAATGAATTCTATTGATCCTGCTATTCAGTTCACTTTTGAACTTGAGACTTGCAATTCTCTTCCGTTTCTCGACATTCTGGTCACACGTAACACATCCAACTTCAGTACTACGATTTACCGTAAAGCTTCATCGATTTGCCTCCCACCACACTTTAAATCATGTTATCCGACTAAACAAAAGTTAGCTTCATTTTATTCCAATGTTTTCCGTGCTCTTCAAGTTTGCTCCTCAAAACTATCCCTTGATGAAGGACTAAATTATTTAAAAGCAATAGCTATTGACAGGGGCTTTTCACCCAACATTATTAATCAAGCAGTTAAAAAATTCTCATCTCAACGTACTAAAAGGACACTCTTGTTTTAGGAGATTATAAAAATTCTGTTGTCATTCCCTTCTTTCCATCAGTTAGCTATAAAGTTGCACATATTTTGCAGAAATTTAACTTTCGGGTCGTTTATTCTCCCCTCAATAAAATTCCGAGTTCCATACTCAAGGACCCCATTCCGGATATGAATTCCTGGGGTATTTATAGGATTCCTTGCCAGTGTGGTTTAATTTACATTGGCCAAACTAAGAAAGACTTATGGTTTAATTTACATTGGCCAAACTAAGAGAGACTTAAAATTTCGCGTCAAGGAACATGAGGCATATGTTAAAAAAAAGGAAACACAAAAATCTTCTGTTGCCCAACATTGTTGGTCCGAAAATCACACTTTCAATTTTTCTGCTGCCAAAATTATTCAAAAAACATCTTACATTGGAGAACTGGATTTAAGAAATTATGTTTTAGTTCTGGTTTCATCAACAGAGGGCGCCACTTGCTTGTTCTTGTCCAGGCTTTCTTATCTTAACTAATCATTATTTCCTATCTTGTTCATTTGCGGTTTTGCAGCTGAGGATGGTGGTTCGGTAAAACCATCGAAACTAATCCTGTGAATTTTGAAAATATAACGCTGATTTTTGTTGTTTGACTTCTGAATTAGTATTTGTTCGACGTGTTATTGTGTCTTAATTAATACGAAGCAGTTTAAATAAATTAATAGGAAACGGTTATAAGGATATAAAAGGGCAAAACTGTTTTGGCAAAAAATGCTTTCAAGTATTTTTCATGTAGTAAAATAACTTTAATGCCTAATCCGTCAAAAAACCACATACAGATGATATTTGAATTTTGGTTTCGAAGTCAACTAAATTATCTTTAAAATACATAGAATTATGTTTGCTCTCAAAGTCAATACTCTCATGACCAGACTCTCATTCAAAGAATTTTTTTTAAAGTTTTTAGAGTATTTGGGGGGCTTTTTAGGGTACTGTTTTGGACAATCTGAGGTCTAGTCTAGTAATCCAACAGAGAAATAAAATTATCTTGGAAATAAAACTGTCTTTTATAAGGATATTTTTACTAGGTAGACATGTCCTATCCATAGGAAACTGATTAAGTAACCTGTTAGTCCTATATACCATGGGACGTTTTTTCCAGAAGGTATGAATGACACTAGAAGGTATGAATTTTTCCATATCAATATTTCTTGCCTCTTGGAGACCTTTTGTGCATGACCTTTTCATAGGAATACATGCAGTGGGGGGGGGGTATTTTTACTCCACCGACAAATTCTTGGAATTATGCACTCAACGCTGCGTGCAATATATTTTTCTACCTGTATAAAATCTCCTTTATTTTCTGCCTTTATTCATCTAATATACGTCCGACGGAGAAGATAAAATGACGAATGACGTTGAATCTTTCCACTTATATAAAGGAACTATTGGATTAAGAATGCAATGAACGCAAATGGACGTCTGGCAATCATACTTTTCGTCAAATGATTCTTTTGCCCTGAAAATACCGCCGAAAAAAGCAGTGTACTTTTAAAAATTTAGTATCTTCCCTGTATATATTTTGTTTATATCTTTTCGTAAGGGCCTGGGACATAAAATGTGCTTTCACATATCAGGTTTAAGATACAACTATTCAAGACGCTCTTAATAATTTAGTGCAGTTGTAATACACTTGTGTCGGGTTGAAAATTTGGAAGAAAAAATAAAAATTCAAGTGAAAGATATGTGGCGTTATTTAAGCTTTAATCCGTTTCTCAATGCTTGTCGATTGTGTCATTTTCTGTGCTACTATTTTTTTTATTTTTGGAGGAACCTTTTTTATTTTTAAGGTTGTCTTTTTCTATTTTAAGTGCACTTTCCGGCTATTTTAAAGGCGTTTTCAGTGAACTTTTAGGTCGTCAAAATCCAGACCCTGCTCATGTCCAAGTATAGCACATATGATATATGACAGAGAAGCAAATTGGACCTCGAGGTCTTTGAAGAAAATTGCAAAGCGCAAGAAAATATTTTTTCTATTCACCTGGTTTATCGAACAATTATTTGCGCATTCCGTAGAAAAGAGCTAGCTAGATATTTTCACAGCACTGTAATTCAAATGTAATAAAAAACAAATTTCAAAAAAATTTCAAAAATGGTCATTAACTCAATAATGAACTAAAAGGAGAAAAATAATTTATAATATAATTTTATGGCAACAAGAGATTAAGGAATTCTATTTACAAAATTGATCTATACATTTATATCGCAAATATTAAAAGCATGGGCTCCCAAATACCGAAATCTGTCAATCATAGATATAAATGCATTTGAAGAAGTATATGCCATCATCTTTATAAATTTATCAAGGGCGCCCCCAAGCTTCTGTTTTTCGCGACACAAATTTGTAAATGAATTTTGTAAAGAGAAATATTTAATTTCATCTTCCCACGGAAATGTGTGATCATTTTCTTTCTTGTTGCGAGTTTTAAATAAAAGCTGATTTTACCAAATAAATAAATAATAAAAAAAAAAAAAAAAAAATACCCCCCAATTTTTCATCATTTCTCTTTCCACAATTTTATCTTCTGCTCGAATTTTAAAATAGCGTTTTAGTGGCGCCATCTATGTACAACTAACCCATCTATGTTCTATGTAATTAAAACCGGTAGATCGTACACTATGTCCTTACCAAAATAAAAGGAAACAAATAAGATATGCCAAGATGGTGTGGAGATTTAATGATTTTGTTTGGCAAAACATATCCAGTACGATACGTACCTTCATAAACGAACGGGGTCTGCTTTCTGAAGAAAAGCATTGTGGGAAACTTCGTAACATTGTAGATTTCTGCAATATTAGTATCGGAGACTTTAACAAAATCCACATCATTTTGCTCTGCGTCGTCGTCGATATTTTCTAAACTTTGCAAAACCTCGTCACATAGCGGGCAATCGATCTTACTGTCTAGGGTAAAAGAGAAAGGATAATTAATATCTAGACAAAAGCATTTTTTAAAACAGTTGGATCAAATTTAAATCGCATGCCAGTCGAATGCACGATCTGAAAAATAGCTGGCAGGCCAGAATTTAAATTTTTATTAGCAAAATAAAATATATATTAAATACATTTTAGATTTCTATTACAAAATATTTATGAAAATATGCATTAATAGGAATAATAATAGCAAAGGAAAAAATTATATTTATTTTTTGTCCGAAATCTACAGTTTATTACCTACGAGACATATTTGTTTCTTACACTTTGTATTTCAAATGTATAGCCAAACATTAAATTTTTAGACCGATATTTCAAATAGTTCCAACATGCTTAATTAATCATTTAATAATTTACTTATATTTAAATTAAAAATAAACAAACTATGAAAATTTTCTAAGTTTTCAGAGAAAATTTTGTAAGTGGAACAAAACTCGAGAATAAATACTAATAACCTAATCTATTTCTCTTATTTCTTACATTTTTCTTCGACGCATAAATAAAAGTACAGGTACATTTGTGTATAAATTATTATAAACTTTTTGATCTCTTATGACGACTTGACACTTAATGGCATTTCGATTCCGATAAAATTCGCTCCTTTGGAGAGAAATTACAAAAAATTATCTTCATCACGTTTTCTTCTTAATTTTCGACTGTAAAAGAAAGTTTCTCACGTACACTGAGCGCCGCCTGAGATAACCACTGACCTGACTTTGTTGTAAAAGTCTTACAGTGTTAAATAGTCATCCTGGCAGAAAGGAAAATTTCCTCCGTGTAAAAATATACATATAAATATTACATGGGCATACAAGGCCTGTGTATAAGCATAGATAGGTTGATTACAATCATTGTCTTGTACAAGTTACATATGATAGATACATAAAATCATGACAGCTATGTGTACATTTAAACATTATATGAATTCATATTTAGAATACTTTTACTGAGATAATCAAATTAAACTTGTAATTCATTTACACATTGACTGGATTTCCAATATCATTTAAACTGCTTTATCATTTTATCAAGTACATACAAACTGGATAGTAATATGCTTACACTACAATAGTTTTGCTCTTACAGTCCTGTTATTATTCTACGGGGTGAGCTATTTTCCTAGTGTTGATATTCAGTTGTCACCGTGCAGCCAGAAGACTGCACGGTGGTGGTATATTTGCACGACGCCCTGTACGGTGTGTACCTCTAACGCCAGCCCATCGGAGAAGGCGTTCTCTGTGGTGCCGGGAACACCGGAATTGGAGAGACAATGAATGGGGATGAGTACTCTTTACAGATGAGAGCAGATTCAGTCTGAGTAGCGATTCTCATCGCATACAATTTTGAATTGCTATTAAAATTATGCTGCGAAGATACAATTCTCAAGAGAGGGGGAGAATTTCTTAGTATCTTGCTGAGCAAAGCCTGATGACCTCCTCTCCACTGGTGTGCAAAAATTAAGGACGAAGTCGAAAAATTAGCATATCAGCTGAACGAAGAGGCAGAGCGGACAGAAAGACCAATCAGGAGATTAAGTAAGGTGATGTACGGTAGCACATGCGCAGATATGCAGGTAGACGTAATGGGGGAGTGTCTGAATAGTATAAAGCATGTTGTCGGTGTAAGATCAGTATTTCTGGCAAAGAGATTGCACGCCGTATAGCAGTTAAAATCACACCGAGTTGCTGCCTCAGCGAGAAATGGCGAATAATCAATCTGTTAGATGACATCTGGATGCTTTTACCCGAGATCGAATCATTGGGAAGTTGGAGGAAGGCAGCAGTGTGACAAGTGTGGCTGCAGAGTTCGGAATTGCTCACAGCATCGTTTCACGACTTTGGAGACGATTTCAAACCACAGGAACAGCTATCCCGGGGTTTAGTAGTGGTCGTCCACGAGGAACCACACCCACAGATGACCAGTATATTGCCTTACAGGCCAGAAGAAACAGGCGGCAGACAGCGGGAGAAATCTCTAGACACACGACACAGGCGACTGGACGACCGATATCGCGTTTTACCGTGGCCAGAAGACTGCACGGTGGTGGTATATTTGCACGACGCCCTGTACGGTGTGTACCTCTAACGCCAGCCCATCGGAGAAGGCGTTCTCTGTGGTGCCGGGAACACCGGAATTGGAGAGACAATGAATGGGGATGAGTACTCTTTACAGATGAGAGCAGATTCAGTCTGAGTAGCGATTCTCATCGCATACACATCTGGAGAGAGCGGGGAAGCCGCAATCATCCCTCGAACATCATTGAAAGAGACAGGTATGGAGGTGGCGGTGTTCTCGTGTGGGGAGGCATCATGCTTGGTAGTCATACAGACCTTCACATCTTCGACGCAGGTTCAGTCAACAGGACCGTTATTGTAACGAGATTCTTCTTCCATATGTGCGTCTTTTTAGAGGCGCTATGGGTCCACAGTTTCTTTTCATGGACGACAATGCACCGTGTCATCGAGTGAGGATATTGAACGTATGGATTGGCCGGCACGATCTCCGGATCTCAATTTCATCGAGCATGTATGGGATTTTCTAGGCAGACGCTTGGCAGCTCGTACCTTACCACCAGTAACGATTCCGGAGCTTCGATTGGCGCTGCAAGACGAATGGGCAGCAATGCCTCAACAACTCATTGACACCCTCATTCTCAGCATGGGCAGACGCTGTGAAACCTGCCTAGCAGTCAGGGGAGGTCATATCCCCTATTAAAGACCGGATGTTTCTTGCTGGACACCCATCACAGGGATGTTTCGGCCTTCAGTCGCATTGCGCTCCATGCTACGTTTTCAATAAAGCTCTTTTTTATCCCTCTGATTTCTCTTTTAGTTAAGTGTTGCTTACATTACTCATGTCCTTACGTATTGGGGATCTTACGGTATTAAATGTGTTGATTTGGAAAGCTTTTGTACAAAGTTATATTGAAAAAACCGTCTCGTCCTTAATTTTTACACACCAGTGTATTCCAGTTTTCGCCTGCTTGTTGCCGCGGGTATTCTCCGCCCATTGCGGCCAGTATTCACTGCCTGGCATTTTTAAATGCAATTTATCGGTTTGTGGGTAGTTGAAAAGGAAGTGATCTGCATCACCTACCGCAACACATTCACACAAATCTGATGCTCGTATGCCGAACCTCTTAAGATAATGTGGGAAGGGACCATGGCCAGTGTAGAATTGAGTTTGTGCTCCGCTGTATGTATTAACTGAGCACGTGAGTTTTGGAAAGAACTTGTAGGTTCTCCTCCCTGTGCTTTCCTTTTCCCATCTTTTCTGCCATTTTTCCAAAAGGCTATTGAGCGTGGTTTTTTTTTTTTAAATAGGACTGCGGAACACTTACTGCGTTTTCCAATCTACTGGAGTCATTGGCAGCAGATTTCAGTGCGTTATGTATGTTTGTTTTAAATGGTTAGGAAACTAGCGTAAACTCAGACTTCAAATAACTAAAATCTTGAAATCTTCCCAACATCGTATTTGCAACCTTCGCGGCTCCCATGAAATTGCTTTGGGAGCAGCTAGGCTGAGACCACTGTTATAAAACGTCTAAAAAGGGGAAAATTTAATCTGTAGAAAAGATATAATTAATATAACTAAAGAATAATCGCTTTGTTTGGGAAATGGAATTTGTATATGAACAGATCCCCCCCCCCCTCTACGCAGTTGAAAACTAATAATAAAAGAGCACGATTTCCGACTAGCATCCACAATCGGTGAGGAAGTTAATTTCTTGTACCTTCTTTCCAAGACAAGAAACTTTATGGGAACAAAACGCCATCCAGTGTCCAGCTGTAATCATAAATAAAGAAGCTTATAGTTATTTCCGTAAAGCCATACCTGTGTTTTATTCATGCGTCAAAGAAAATTTAATAAAAAATAAGAGAAACAGATTGGATTATTAATATTTATTTCGAAGTTTTTTCCATTTGGTGAATCTTCTCTGAAAACATAAATTTTTCATAATTTCTAGAATTCTAGTTTAGATTAAAATTATTTAAAGATTAACAAAAGCAAAAATGTCTTGCAAGGACGAAACTTAAGGTTTCAGATAGGAAATAAATATAACTTTTGAAATTTTTCCCCTGCGTTATTATTATTATTGTTTATGTATGTTCTGATAAATATTTAGTAAGGGAAATTTAAAATTCACTTAAAATATTTTTCATTTGGTTAATATAAAATGTTCATTTTGTTAAAAAAACCTGATGTGTACACCACATGACTTCCTTGTACGGAATATTAAATTATACGCATTTTTTCTTGCATTTTATTTAAACTTATTAGATTGAATTAAACCTACTTCGCCGACAGCGCCTAAACCACAATAGAATAAATGCATTCTTTAAAATTCACTTTGTTTACCATAGCGATACTCTGGCGCTAGGTTTACTTAACAGTATTATGTTTCATTCATATTATAACTCAGAATGCACAAAAAGTATATCATTTAAAGAATTATCTAATCCTTGCCACATGTTCTATTCAAATATTATAATAAAGCTAGAACTATGTATAAAAGAAATTAAGCAAACAAAACAAAACAGAAACTGTTTTTCACAGACGATTGAGTATTTCTCATTTAATTAATTCAGTTCTCACTTCGGAACAAGGCAAAAATACATAAAAACTCAAAATATCTATATTAAAAATTACGAAGTAAATCTCAAACGTTTATTTCCACGAAAAAATTTCAGAAAGAATTAAGCACGATTTAATTGGCAATAATAAATGAATGCGTTATCTTTGTTGTTGGGAAGCTAAGTTTCTCTAGATTGGCAACAAATCCACTAGTCTCCTGTTTCAAATGTAAACATCAATGGCCGCCATTAAAACAGGCTTAGCGGCAATTAAACAACTTTAAAATTGCTGATAATTCTAAAAATATTGCACACAGATTTACTAAAGGCATAAAATCCTTAACCGGAAGATAAAAACAACATAATTCAATCATTTTTAAAACAAAAAATGTACAATTTACAAACATTTAAGAGTAAAGAAACTGAGATCACTGAGCCGGGTAACAGAGTGGATATATATATAAATATATTTATATACGTTTGGCGCGCCGATTGCAACCAAAATACGAGGTGCACATCTACATGTTATAGCAATCCTATATATACAAAATTTCAACGTTCTGAGGCTACTCGTTTTTGAGTTATGCGAGATACATACGTACGTTCGTGCAGACGCCACGAAAAATTCTCTTCAAAATTAATTTTAAAGCAGTTTTATAATTTTTTTGAAGGAAAAGAGTATTTTATTCTGTCCTTACGTACAGATACCACGTAAAAACATCGTTAAATTGCATTCGATAGCGGTAAATGGATATTTTCGTTGAAATATGCTGCCTGAAACTTTTCGCGATTACAATACTTCCTTTTTACATCGTACAAGGAAGTAAAATAAATAAATAAATAAATAATTTCAGACCTGTCGGCTGTTCTCAGATCCTGTATTCGTCCCGCATGAAATTTTAGTGACGGGAAAGGTAATAAGAAAAGGGCCAGAAACATGGCTGCAGATAAAAACAGTGCGGAAGCAAGCGTTGCAGAGAAAGCAACGCAAAGAGAAACGTCGTCGCACAAAACATCGTGAGAGAAAAGAAAACTAGGAAAAACATCGCAGTTTTAAAATTTCGTGGTAAAAAATAAAGGGGTGCAAAATCGTCGCAGTTTCCAAACACTGTCACGCCAAATATCGAGGTAAAAAAACAAAGCACCTAAAAACATCGAGTGATGATATAACATCGCAACGAATACGCTTTCTGATTTGGTCAACGAAATTTTAAAGGGCCACCATCAAGAGGTCGACTGGGTGGCGATAGCCGAATATGCATCGGCAAATGATCGGCATAATTAAAATCACAAGATTATGATTATAAAACAGTTTTTTAATAAAATTCATAATTGTTTATTGATATAAAGCTAGTAAGAAATGGTGTAGCAAGAGGGATATCATATTAAATGTACGTAAGAGAAAAAATATACTAAAATTACTTAATGTATTTTAAAAATAATAATATTTCTTTAAATGTATAAATTTTTATGCAATTAGTGCAATATAAAAAAGGAAAACCAAAAAACACAAGAAAACGTAATAATAATATATATGAAGAATCGAAAATAAGAATGAAGAGCAAGAATCAGTTGGAATACTTTTGAAAGCGAGGATTTAAAAATTAATTTAATCAATTTCATGACAAATATTTTAAAAAAATTGCATCAATACAAATCAAATTTTTGTGCCATTAGAAACTGTAATTTTCTTTCAGAAAACTTGTTTACATTTGTAAAACTATAAGTAATAATAAAACAAAACATAATTTCGCATGAATAAGTCATTTTTTCAAAGCTTTTGTTAATATTTTTAATCTTATAGTTCCGGCCTCTCCATAGACGTCACGATTTTCAAACGCTTTCCTTTTCCTGCGTGGAGTTTGATTTACATTTTGAATCTGCAAGACCATGTGTATGTAAACGCAATATTCATTGTTAGCTTTAAGTTATTTATGTACAATTATTTGCGTTAAAATGATGTTGTACGCTGCATGTGGTGTAAGGGGGTTGCTTTTAAGAGGTGTAGATGCAAGAAAAAGGTTAGGAAACCTTGGTTTTAAGGTTTTGATAGGTTACGCAAGAGAAAAAAATAATTATACTAACAGAATAATACTGCAACGGAATGAGAGGTATTGAGAAGATTTTCGAGCATTCGAATGTTGACTTCTTCAATAGCATCCGGACTATCCAGTGTCTCCTCTCTTGTGACCCATTCTAAAATTTTACCTTCTTCCATCAGATCACCTGAAAAATAACTATTGTTACAAATTTTGAACACATGTAAATAATTTTACAGAAATAATATGTCAATTTTATTAGTATTTCTTGCATCATGAGATGTTATACAGAATGCGAAGCATTGACGAAAAAATAGGGATACAGTAAGTCCTTTTTAAAATTGAGATAAATTGTTATCTCGCCATATTGACAATTTTTATCACCACAGTCGCCAAGCCTGGCTACCTTTTAACGACATTTAGCCCGATCATTGCTTAACTGTAACTGTATCTGGCTCTATGTAATTGTGTATAATTTTAAGATGCTAAGATTGCCAGGCTTTTGGCCACCATATTCGAAATCGTCTGTCACACTTCTAATTCTTATGCTTGCCCTGATTTTAAAAAAGAGTTACGTTCTCAGTTAAAGGCTATGTCTTAAAATAGCAAACTAAATGTTATTGCTATATTATTTGTTTCCTTTTCTTAGCTTTTGAGAATAATTGTATTTCAAACTGGAATATATTAATTAGGAGGGCATTTATTCTATAATTAAGAAAAATTATTGCCTAGATAAGAATTGATTTAGATAGATAAGAATCATTATAAATAGAAAATGTTCTCTGAATTAAATTTGACTGCTCTGTTTTTTGTATTAACTATGAATAACGAAATTTGATAATTTGTTAATTGTTTATTATTGTTTTGGTTTTTAGACTTGAGAATTTATAAAAAATTAATTTAAATAGTGACCCCATTTTTCATGTAATTATGATCTAATTGCTTTGACTGGGATTCAAGTGTGTGGCCGTTCCCAACTAGCTAAGAACAAAATAAGATTTGGAACAAAATATGAATTCAAGACTTCATGATATTAAGAGGTTTCTAATAACTTTCAAACTTGTATTTTTTTTTTATAAATATGGTTGAAGACAGCAGTTGTAACTGCTTAGCTCTCTATGCAAATTTTGATTACGTAATATATCCATTTGTACATATGTCGCACAAAGTGCAAAGATGTCATTGATACATATTCTTTAGTTTTTGTAACAATTTACTTTGGCTGATACAAAATAGGCGTCGTTGATTTGGCAGTCCACCCAGTTATGGTGGCTGCTGGTTGTACAAGTAGATCTGACCTCTGCTGATCAGGTATTAATTCCGATTAGTTTCACCTTAGGACAGGTGACAGGTGACGGAGGACGAGGGCGCCTGATGTTTAACATAGGTAAAGAGGTATATGCCCCGTGTCCTCCACTATCTAGTGGCAACAATTCCCTGGAGCCTCATCAGGCTGCCTCGAGAGTTTATTTGAATCTTAATGAGAAAGTTACATGGCCATATAAGGGCGGTTGACATGGTCTACATTACGAGTGATGTGTATGATATTTGAAAGTTTTAGGATTACAGTGGTTACAGGAAATTAAAAATAAAGTTAGAACTATGTATAAAAGAAATAAAGCAAACAAAACAAAAAAGAAACAGTTTTTCACAGACGATTGAGTATTTCTCATTCAATTAATTCTGTTCTCACTTCGCGACAAGGCAAAAATACATAAAAACTCAAAATATCTGTATTAACAATTACGAAGTAAATCTTAAACGATTATTTCCTCGAAAAAATTCAAGAAAGGATTAAGTATGATTTAATTGGCAATAATAAATGAAGGCGTTATCTTTGTTGTTGGGAAGCTAAGTTTCTCTAGATTGGCAACAAATCCACTAGTCTCCTGTTTCAAATGTAAACATCAATGGCCGCCATTAACATAGGCTTAGCGGCACTTAAACAATTTTAAAATTGTTGATAATTCTAAACATATTGCACACAGATTTACTAAAGGCATAAAACCCTTAACCGGAAGATAAAACAACATAATTCAATCATTTTTAAAGCAAAAAACAATTTACAAACATATAAGAGTAAAGAAACTGAGATCACTGAGCCGGGTAACAGAGTGGATATATTTATAAATATATTTATATACGTTTGGCGCGGCCGATTAAAACCAAAATACGAGGTGCACATCTACATGTTATAGTAGTCTTATATACAAAATTTCAACGTTCTGAGGCTACTCGTTTTTGAGTTATGTGAGATACGTACGTACGTACATACGTTCGTACAGACACCACGAAAAATTCTCTTCAGAATTCATTTTAAAGCAGTTTTTTAGTTTTTTTGGAGGAAAAGAGTATTTTATTCTGTCCTTACGTGCAGATATCAGGCAAAAACATCGTTAAATTGCATTCGAAAGCGGTCAAAGTGGATATTTTTGTTGAAATATGCTGCCTGAAGCTTTTCGCGATTACAATACTTCCTTTTTACTTCGTACAAGGAAGTAAAAAAAGGGGGGGGGGAGGTGGCATAACAATATAAGACATAATACACATAACAACATTGAATAACCTGAAACACATAACACTTATAACATTTAGACCATACATTACGAATACACAGAAGATACTCACAGACTACTAAGTAGAGTACTAATAATGCATTCATATGATGCTGTTAAAACATATAATGCTGGGCAGATGTGATACTATGTGATATATAAAAACGCGTAATATTGAGATCACAGATGTAGAAAGAAAGCGTGTATAGTGAACATCCATAGATAAAAGCACGTAAACTCAAAAACACGGGATAAAATAACGACCGTTTAGCTTTCAGGTTCAATGTTTCTTCTAACCTTCTTCGGAAACATACAATGACCTGACTAGAACAGAGAGCTTACTAAAGCTATGTTCACTAATTGTAGTAAGTAGACAGGATACAGACGAAGGGTATACAAAACCCTTTATTTTTTCTTTATATACAATGACTTCCGTACTTCGGAATACAATGACCCTCCACTCGGGGTCTAACGTAAAAGATATCAAAATAAAACTAAACTCTAATTTAACTTTAGAATAATAACGTAAGATTGGCCTTATAATAACAGGAAGCGTATGTAGCACAGAGACTGTGAACACTACAATACGTTTAATTTATCAAGAGGATTAAAACCTCTGGCCTGGAAGGCAAAGTAGCAACTGCGTAACTTCTAAGGTAAGCGGCCTGCTTCGAACTCACGGCTTCCTCTCTCTCTGCTTGGCAAAAAGGCCACACTTAAATACTTGGCGTTCGCCAGACAACTTTGCATATAAACTCCTTCACGCTTATAATTCTGGCCGGAAGTAGAAAATAAGAAGTGATAGTAAAGATTTAAAATAAAATAAACGTTAGTAAAACTTAAGATCCTTACATACTTCCCGCCAGAGTTAATTAGTTTGAAACTGAGGTCTAAAACGACCTTGTTGAAAACTTTTAGCTCTAGAAACTAACGCGAGGCCAACCTTTTACAAAAATGCTTAGCTAGAAACTAGAAAATTTAAAAGAAAGAAATTTGTTACAATAGCAGCTCCCGGAATATACAACAATCTTTTTTTTTTTTTCATCTGTACTGCATCTAAACAGGAGCTTTATTCAATTCTGGTTCCTTCCAGAGATCTGGAAGGAAAACTAGTTTAATGAAATGTTACAGAATGACATTGCAAATAACATATAGAATATACTTCTCTTAACATTCTTATTTCATTCATGACTATTTTAATTATCTCTCCCCGTGCTCTCTGACATGTGTTGTAAAAGAACACCAAACACGAATGTGTTTCTGTCTACGTGTTGCCACACTTCCTCCTACAATCAAAACACTAACGTGTTAAAATTCAACATACGAGACCTCTTAACACACCCTAACTTTCAACTCTAAACCCTGAGGTACTATTCTGAAAGTGGCTAACTCTAAAGTGTAGCGTCAGAGAGCCTAACTACATCATTCAACCTTTAACACATATTCACCATGATGATTTAATCTTTACAGTCACACGAATAACAAATTTTTAACATTACTTTCACTTTTACCATATCACGGTATTTCTTAACATTTCAAAATAACAGTTCACATGTATACAAGAACATATCAACATGCCGTTAATTTTACACATTTGAAAACATACATTAGTAGTACATTGTTAACTTCTATTCTTTTCAAAGCAAGTGCCAATTCTTTCTACATTGAAATAATACTACATTTCAAAAAGTCTTTCAGACTAAAAAACTTCTTCTTGCTAGAATGTTTTAAATAAAATTTATACAATAACTTTTTTACAATATTTAAGTCTTTACACAACGCTATTATACATCAACTTTAGTTTTTACGCGCGAGTAATTGAAAAACATAATAAGAAAATCGGTCACAACTCATTTCTCGCCCTTTTGGCGATAAAGGTAGACCTCGCATGAGGTAAAACTTCTTGAAATCTGCCACTTGCAGTAAGAATGAAAGATTAACTTAAGTTTGTAAAGTAACATAAAATTTTACTTATCTTTGTAATATTCAGACATCCTTTTCTGGGCCCAGTCTTTAAAGGTGCTAGCTACCGTAGCTTGGTTGATCCTCCTTCTTGTACGGGCTCGCCCTTCAGTGCTTTCCTCTGGAAGCTTCCGTTTTTCACCACTACGGCCACCCTTGAACATCTTCCTTTTGTCCTCTGCTTGTGGTCTTGGCCGTTTGAAGGCAGCTGGTCTTGGTGGAACCGGGAAACTTCTGTCGTGATCCTGCTTGGACCTCGTTGTTGGCCGTTCAAATTTTTCTTGTACTTTTTCCTCCGCCGCTGATGGCCCTTCCGCAGTTCGGCGACTTTTGCTGCGGAGAGTTCTGTCGGATGAGTCGATCTTCCTTTTTAACAGCCGGGTTATAGTTGCCGTCCTTTCTCCCGGTCTCTTTCCACATACGTCGTCCTTCTCCCTTCTTCATTCTGGGGGTGTTCGTGAACTCTGTTTTCTGGACGGTGGAACGGCTTCTTTTCTTTTTTCTTTTACCTTCAATTTTTCCGCGGGGCAATTTTTCTTTTCACTTGCTTCTGTCTCTCATTGGCTTGCCCTTGTACTTGTCGTTTTCCCACCTCTGGAACTTGTACCTGCGGTGTCTGCCGTACCGGATCCTGCAAAAGATCTGAAAAGATTTGCATTTTATTACGATC